GGCCGCCGCCGCCGTGGCCGCCGTGGCCGCAGCAGCCGCTGCCGCCGCCACCGCCGCGGCCGCCATGTTGTGCGGGAACGGCGCCGGCCAGCTCGACCCGCCCCCGCCCGCGAGATCAGCGCCTCCCGCGGGAGCACGGGCCACCAATCACGCCACAAAGATGGCAGCGCCCAGCGCGGCTTCACTTCCGCCCGGTGGCCCGCCCTCCCTGCCCGTGCCCCTCCCTGCGCAGCCATCCCTCCACATATTTCCCCCCACCCACCTCCCCCCGGTCGCAATTGTTTCCTTAATGTCAATAAATACTATCTAGAAAGGCCCTCCATAATAAATAACTATGTTTGACTCACCTATGTTTGAATGCCAAGTCACTTCCTATTTAGATAACTCTCTGAACATCCCACCTCGAAATTCCTAAAGCAAGAAACATCCCTAGAGGATTAGAAAAACTGACTGGATGCTCAGTGGAATAGAAGGTTCTGGCCCTTCAACTGCCAGACCTCCTAATTTCAAGACCTGCAGGTAATCCTCTTGCTCACTATAAAATACAGCAGAGGAAATATGAACTTTGGAAGACGACTGCTGATACATGTGTTCCACATCAGATTACATGTGCAATAACATGAGTGAGCAACTCTGGCTAGATATGAGCTGTTACTATAACTGAACTGCTGTATTCTGCCAAATTGGGAAAAAAAATAAAATCCCTGGATATTTGTGAACCAACAGCAGGGCACAGAAAAATTATTCACCGTTGGCTGCCACACCAGCGGAACATTTCCAGAGCAAGAAATAAGAAAAGAAGGCTGCGACAGCGGGCCCAGAACAAGCACTATAGTTTTCAACAGCACAGAGCAGTGCTTTTTTCAGCTATTTAGTCACGATTGCTGCCTGATACAATCCGGACACGCTGGCACTTGGTGCCCAGTCCCAGCACACCCGGCTTCATCCCTGCGGCGGGCAGCAGCACGGCCCGGGGAGCGGGGCAGCCCCCGGGGGCACTGCCCACACTCGGATCGCCGCGCTTCTCCCTTCAGCTCACCCACAGCTTTATTTCACCCGGCACTGACTGCCTCGCCTGGATTTAACCAGATACGTGGAGGAAAGCCAGCCCTAATTAGGTTGCGACTAATTATTCCCACAAGACTTTATTCCACAGATTTGAGGGAGACGCAGCAAGACCCGGTTCCTTGCACCGAGGGTGCGCTGCTGACAGGGATTTTTGGGTCAAGCTGGCCCACACGAGCATCCCCGAGGCCCAGCTGCCCCGAAGGCAGGGCCGGACAAAGCGGGCTGACAGAACCCCCTCAGAGCCCACAGACAGCCCCGCCCAGGCACAGCCGCAGCCCCTGGGGCATCTCCCGGCCCGCGGGCACGCTCGCTGCCCCCACCCCGCTTCCCACGCGTGACAGTGCCAAGGCGGCGGCCGGACACCCCCACACGGCACGACCAGCGCGCAGGAGGGGCACAAACGGCGCCGAGCGGGCTGCTGCGAGCCCTCGCACACGGCGGCCACTCCTCCCGCGGCACGGCCCCCCCGCCACACGCGGATCCACGCGTGACAGCCCCGCAGCCTGCACGCACGCAGCGCCCCACGCGTGACGGCCGCTCCCCACAAACGCCCCTCACCTTCTCCAGAGGCGCCGGGTTCTGCACCGCCAGCGACCGTGCCAGTGACAGTACCGTGTTGAAGTAGAAGCCGCGCGCGGTGGCCGCGCTGCTCCCGCGCCCCGCAGGGCCCGCGGAGGGAGCCGCGGCGGTCCCGGCCGTGGCAGCCGCCGTCCCGGCGCCATCCCCCCACATATTTCCCCCCACCCACCTCCCCCCGGTCGCAGTGGTTCCGCCCAGCAGCCGCCTGTCTACCAGCGGCGCTGCGGCGCGCTCACTCCACCCCGCGGGGGGGAAGGCGGTCGGTGGCTGCGCCCAGCGCTTCCGCCCGGCGCTCGGTGCCGTGGGCGGAAGCAGCGGAGCGGCCGCGGCCCGAGGCGGGGGTGAGGGGCGTTCCGTGAGGGGCGAGGAGTCCCCGCGGACACTGTCGCGTCGGCGGGGCCATGTCGGCGCTGCCGAGGAGCTACAACCCGTTCGCGGAGGACGAGGAGGAGGATGTGGCGCCGGCGGGTCCCGGCGGGGCGGGCGGCGCGGACCGGCAGCGGTACCTGCAGCAGGAGGTGCTGCGCCGCACCGCCGCCACCGCCGACAGCACCACGCGCTCCCTGTCGCTGCTCTACGAGTCCGAGCGCATCGGCGTGGCCGCCTCCGAGGTGGGTCGGGCCGGAGCGGAGCGTTCGCCCCGGGGAGGAGCGGCCGCGGGCCCGAGCGCTGCCCCTGCGCTCACCCCCCGGGAGGGGAGCTGCTCTCCCTGTCCCCCGGACAGTGTCCTGGAAAGTCCCCCTTTCCTCGGGGTTTTCCAGCCAACCTGTCCCTGTGTTTTGTGGGTGGTGGCGTGTGGGTTTTGAGGGAAAAATCCCATTTACAGCCTGTGTGCCTGAATAGTACTGAGGCTGGGACTCGGCCGTGTTTCAGCTGCTTTCAGCAGTTCTTACTAATTTTTAGCGGACTAAAAAGTTTTCAGTAGTTCCCTTGGTTAGATGAAGGGCTTCTCTGTTAGTTGTTTATGATGTGCTTCGGTTCACCCTGATTAATCATTTCCTTCATTCCTCGGGCTCTGTTTCAGCACTTTGTGCTCGGGCTCAGTCTTGTCCATTGTGTCACCTGCAATAATGGGATGTTCCTTGGGTGATGTGGTTGCCTAAATTAACCCCAGAGCATCCCCAAGCTGCAGCCAGTCCTTATGCTCAGAGGGTTCTCGGTGGGACTTCTGTGAACTTTCAGACTCGTGATTTGTTTGTCCTGGAAATCACAAGTGAGGAATCAAGAATTCAGGCTTGACACACAGCCTGTGGTAAAACTTGAAGTCTGTGCATTTGTACTTTATTGAGAGGGGGAAAAAAAGAATATTCAACTAAAATTTTCCAGACTTTAGCAAGAATATGAACAAAAGTTCTTTGTTTTGCACTGTTGGTAGCTGCAGGCAACTTTCCTGCCAGCATTAATCTTTGGATTACTTTAGAATAGTGCTTGTGCTGCTGAATTAGAAAAATTCCTAAATCCTGCACTGCTAAAATATTTCTGAAGACTGAAGAAATAATTCTATTTGTGTTTATTTCCTTTGGTTATTTCTAATATATCAGAAGCATCGCACTAAGGTGAAGATAGAACCCCTTCCCTATGAAGGTGCCATTCCTAACTAGGAGTTGTCCTGCTTGCTCATTCCCTTGCCATAAACCTGTGCATTTCCACCACATCACCCATCTGGTGGTCAGCCATAGATGAAAATGTCAGCTTGACAAAAGTACAGAAAACCATAAAACTCCTGGATTGTTTGTGGTAGGTGCCAGGAACCCAGCATGTCACAGGGATGAGGATTTTAGAGCTGCTTCGTGCAGTGGCTGAGGAGCAGCTGTTGATGGAAATGCCCTGGAGGAAGAGGAGCGAGGGAAAAAGCTGTTTGCCCTCAGAAATAATCTGCACAGATGAAGGAATGCCAATATTTCCTCAGTGTCCCCTTCAGTGCCCGTTGTGTGGTGTCTCAGTTTATCCTGGCTGTGTGACCTGTTTTCTGTCACTGCCCCTCAGGAGCTCGTCCGTCAGGGAGAGGCTCTGAAGCGCACGGAGCAGATGGTGGATAAGATGGACCAGGACTTGAAAACCAGTCAAAGGCACATCAACAGCATCAAGAGTGTTTGGGGGGGCTTGGTAAACTACTTCAAAGCCAAACCACCAGAGAGCAAGCCAGAGCAGAATGGAGCCCCTGAATATTACGCTAACAGCAGGTAAATAATGTAGACTTTTTATTTGGGACTTGTCTCCCACAGCATCTCTGAAATGTCATCAGAAAATCAGAAAACAAAACATCTGTTGGTTCTTTCAAACTCCTGTAAACTCCTGAGGTGGTCTAGCTACCCTTTTTCTTTAATGCTGAGGTCAACAGCAATACTTTCTTTTTTTTAATTTTTTTTTTTTAACTAGGTTAAAAGAAGCAATGATGTCTAGTAAAGAACAAGAGTCAAAATACCAGGAAAGCCATCCAAATTTAAGGAAGCTAGATGATTCAGGTTTGTTAACTTTATTTTACACTGAATGCCTGTCATCTATGTGGGGCTAACTTGCAGAGTGGTGAAGGCAGAGCCCCTTCAGCCTGCCCAGCTGCTGACTTACCTTGCTGCCTAACATCTGGAATTTTGTATTCCAGCTTTCATGCTTTGAATTCTAAGGAATTGTTTCCATTAAACTCTTTATCTCCATAGTGAGGATGTTATACCTGCTAGAGACTAAAAGCACCCAGTGCTTATATTTGCAGAGAATGCACACAGTGTGCAGACAGGGTTTCACTAAGTTTGCCAAAATGTTGCATGCGCATGGGGTCTCCTTTTAACCACTGTTTGTCATAGTTTTCAGATACATTGTCCTTGTTATTTCAGACATGGATTCTAACCCTTCATACTGAAGCTATTTATTGATTCTCAGGAGGTGGTGTATGCAGTTTGGCCTCATTCCTCCTCCTCTCAATCTGTTAACTTCTGTGAGGGCTTTTCCGTACTAAATAACTGTTTCGTTATCAAGTGAGCCTGGGCTATCTCACACAGTCAGAGCGGGAAGCCAGCGGGATGTGGATGATGAGGATGATGATGTGTGAGTAGGGGAGTGAAGGCTCTGGGGGCTCGGTCGCAGCCCCTGCGTGTGGTGCCGGGCTCTGTCCAGCAGAGGGCAGAGCGGCTCCCGCCCAGCCCTTGGTCCCGCTGGGGGCTCGCTTGGCTTTTCTCTCCCCGCTCCTGCAAGCGGCAGCCCAAAGCAGCATAATTGTAGCTTAAGTGTTCATCTTGGGAGCTCCTATAGACAGTGGTCTCGGACTACTCCCATTACTCTGGGTATGTGATTACCTGGCAGCTGTGTGCAAACTGATTTTTAACAGCCTTAGTAACACCTCAAAACCTCTTCTCACATGCTTTTTCGTTATATAATATTCTGTACTCTGTACTCTTGACAGACAATGACTTCAACAAAGCAGATTTAGTTTCTTCAGTGCAAAGGGATGCCTACCCAAAGAACCAACAGCTGCGAGCTTACCACCAGAAAATTGATACCAACTTAGGTGAGTGAGGAAACTGAAGCTGTTTGATATTATACAATTGGGAATTTTTGATTCCTAAGCAGATAGAATTATTAAGTGATACATTGCCAACACTTTTTTGTTTAGTTAATGTGTAAAATTTGATGATAATTTAAAAAGTCATTTGCTTCTATTTGCATTTCAAAACTATCTACATGGTGCATCGGTTTAGACCTAAGTAATTTAAAACAATGCACAGCTTTTGAAACACATGTTTTGCTAAAAATTGCTAAGAATTGAAAGGCACTAAATATTTAATTTGTAGATTTGCTGCATTTCTTTTATTACTCCTCAAAATCATTCAGCTGAGTTTGCCTTCCTTTGTTCTGTAGCATATAGACAAAGTGCCTGTTTGCTTACATGTGTCACTGTGTTGCTGACCTAGAAAGAAGAGGTTGGGAAAAAATCAGAAAGGAATAAATCAAAGAGAAATAGTTGGTCATAAGAGCTAGTGGAAGCCCATTTTTTCTGTTCACAAGCTATGGAAAACTTACTAACTTCAAGAAGCATTTATACCAATCAATCATGCAATGAGATTGTCACCTTTTGGTCAGTTACAAAATCTAGAAATGGGAATTTTTCATATATGATAAATAACTGCTTTAATCTTCAGTGCACTGGTATAATCTCTGCATGAAATTTAAAGAAAAACAGTTGAGGTAGTGAGCATACTGTGTATGCTGAGCAGAGATAATATGTACCAAATTTTCTATGTGTTACATTTTTTAAAAATGTAAAAAAGGTAAAAACTACATTAGAGGGTATGTCATTTGATAAAGACCCAATTTGGTGTTAAGCAAATGTTTAACACCAAATGTAAAATGTGAAAAAGGAGGAAGTGACTTTTTCTGGTAGTAACAGTACAACTATGAACGTACCAGTGCTTCCTCTATTTCAGAGGAATGCTCACACTTGAGGAATTGTATCTAACGTTTTCTAGCCCAGGCTTTTGGAGAAGAAGGAATCCTGATAGTGTCCATTTAGATAATCTGTGTTACAGCACTGTGATTCCTTATGGTCCCTCTCTGCCTGACAGATGAGATGTCTTCTGGGCTGAGTCGCCTGAAGAGCCTTGCTCTTGGCCTGCAGACGGAAATAGAAGAGCAGGATGATATGTTGGATCGGCTCACAAAGAAAGTAGAGACACTGGATGTCAACATTAAAAACACTGATAGGAAAGTCCGGCAGCTTTGAAGGATTTTTAGAATTTCTTTTGTTCAGTTTTGGTTCATCCTGAATGCCTCATCTCAACCGATCTCTTAAAAAAAATCTTGGGCGGTATCTGTTTCTCCTTTTTTTCTGCTCTGTTACTGGTTTTGTTGTCATTAAAATTACACAGCCTTAAGTCAGCACAATACATTTCCTCTTAGTGTACATGGGAAAAGTGCATGTGGAGTGGAATCCCTCAGCGCTTGGTCAGGACGCCCTGCTCAGTTGTGTAACTGCATCGTGTGCGTGGAGGAATTCTCACTCCACAGAGCTGCAGTGCCCTTGGCCTGGGAGCTGTGATGAGAAAAGGAGCTGCATTTTTGCCTCTGTTTTGGGGAGGGGGCAGGGGGAACAGAATGTGCTGCTTTGTTCAAAAGAAATGTTGCCAATTCTGTTTACCTACAGATACGTTGAATTCAGAAAAAATGCTGATTTCCAGCTGTAAAAATATTTTTAAGTGACTGTTCTGCAGCATTTCTGGGGCTTAAGGAATGAACTGTTCCATGGAAGTTGTAAAATATCAAGGGTGTCATGCAGTAATGGTAATATCCTGTGTGTGTTCTGTTTCCTAAGATGACTTTGCCCAAATGGTGCATCCACAAATTGTGGTTTTTATGTTTGGGTAACTAAATACTTTTGCCTTTACAGTCTTGTCAGTAAAGATCTCTAAGGGTATCTTATGGTCTGTAAGAAATGTTCATTGACAGTGACCCAAAATGTTTGGGTAACAAAATCAGGATTTAAATGTGTGTGCTCTTAAAGATTCTTTTGCAGAAGTGGTCACCATCTGTTTTTAATTTTCTGCTCTTTCTCAGCTTATTCATTTAGGTGGTTATTTGAAAAAACAGCTTCCATTTTAGAAATGGAGAGTTGATCTGATAGTGCACAAACAGATTGTAGAAGACTGTTCTTTAGCATTTATTTCAGATGTGATTACAGATGGAGCAGATGCTGGGCTTTGCTAGGTAATGTGACTGTTAAGAAACTCCACTATGGTTCACATGCATCTGCATTGGCTTAGCAGGTATGAATAATTCCAAATGAAGAAAAGCCCAAACCATTTTTGAGTCTTCCAGATAGAAAGTGGGCTTTCACTTTGTTTTGTTCTTTTGTGAGGGTCACTGTAGAACAAAATCACAGTTCTTCTCCAGCCTGAAGACATGACAGTGAGAGCTTGCTGTCTGTCATGAAAGCAAGCAAGGTGCTCCTGTTTGGAGAGGCCAAGGGACCTGTGTCACTATTGGGACATCACAGGTGACAGCGTGTGGCTAGGAAGAGATTTACTTCTTTTGAACTAGTGCCACCTTGCCTTAGGAATTAAAGAAAGACTTTGGTGTTCAGGGCTGTCAGGCTTGTCCCCTTCACAGATGTCACATTCACACCCCACTCATTCCTGTTTCAAGGGATGTGTTACCTTGAGCTCACTTGCCACAAGGTGCATCCAGTTGTTAAGGATATAAGAGAAACTGAGCCTTTCTTGTTTTACTGTCTCCAGAAAGTTCACTTGTAGAAAAATAAATCACTAAAAAAGCTACACTTATTGGACATAGTATTATGGAAAAAATACTATTTCTGGCCTACTGGCAGGGTTGAGTTGTGAATTAGATTTAAGGTGAGCCTCTGTTCCCTTTGTTACTGATGGCATTGATTTTAGTCCCCCCTCCCAAAAAAAAAATCTCTTGGAGGGACATAAAAATTAAAGAGCAATTAACCACCTTTAATTGCTTTTTAATTTTTCAGTTTGTATCATTTATGCACATAAAGAATTATAAATATCCTATTAATATTAATATATCATTTTACTATTTGGGTTTATACCATGATTAATTATCTTACTCTGTTAGAATATTTATTAATTATATAATTTGATGCCTCAAGACAGCTGATACATTTATTTTGTAAATTATACCGTTGTTAGTGTTCATATGTTAAGTACCTCAGTGAAGGAAGGTCGAAATTTTGATTATACCTGGTTTAGTTTCTTATTTGTTGAAATAACACTCCTTTTAGTGTAAAATCTGCCTTCACCTGTAAGCAGCTGTGTCACAACTCAGTGTTTGCTCTGATAACAAGGATGGGCACTGAGTGAGATTTTCTTGACTAAGTTATGGCAAATGGAGCAAAAATGTCACTGGAGAATCTGGTTCTGTCATGTGTAGTAAGAAATCTGGAGCTTGAATCCAAGCAAAAATTTTTGATTTAAGGGTGAACTCTGCTGCCTTTTAATGTTAAGCTATTCCATTTTTAGTCTAAATTGCTTCACAGAATTAACTTTTATTTTTGAGCAAATGTTTCATTGTTTTGGCCTTATGAAATAATCAGTGCATCCTGGATATCTTTGATGCTTTAAAAACACAGGCAGGGAAGGGAAATAAAAAATAAATCCCTGGTTTTACTTTGGGAATAAGAAACAAATCCATATTTTTTCTTTGAGAATGCCCTGATCCAAGCAGAGTAGAAACCCAGGATCTCAGCCATGTGGAATCTATACAGAGGTCTAACTCCTCCTAACAATCCCATCCACTGCCTCAGTAATGTATGCCTGCCTTTGCTTAGGTTTTCTTGTTTTATTGATTTTTTTTTTGTTTGGTTTTAATGGCCTTGTTTTAAAGGATCATTTCCCACACTGGGTTTCCTTTGCAGGGGGAAAAAGATGGTGCATGGGTATAAAAGACTTTGTGCTACAACTGAATTGCTTGTCTTTGCTTTCATATTGATTTTTGCTGATAACAAACTTAAGTCTAACTGACATGAGGAGACACCACTATTTTATAATAGTGATGATGTTTTTTATCTCTTAGAATAATTTTCCATCCTACAGGAAAAGGAAATTTAAAGGAAAATAATCACATGATTTTTGCTTTTCCAGGAAATGCCATTTTGCATGTATAGTGAAGGATTTACTTCAGTAGCTTTTCTTACTGTTTCCTCCAATGGACTTTTATTTCTTCTTGGATACTGTTGAAAAACTTAAACTGTGTAGAGTCCAGGACTTTCAGAAGAAGTTTAATTTGCACTCATGTGCTGATTTTTGATAAAATAAACTATTTTGCCTACATATTCATGTTGGCATATAAGCTGGTGTTCTTGCAGCAAAATAGCTCTGGTTAATTTTATTGGCTTGGATAGAAGCTTAATAAAGTCAGAAGAAGATAGCAAGAAAAACCCAACCATTTTTATTTATAAAATTCTTTATAAAAAGCAGTTTTCCAGTTTCTCAAAAAGTTTGCTAATCAGTTTTGAAGAGATCTTAAACATTGGGAAGTAGCTTATGCCCTTCATAACACAGACATAAAATTCTAAAAACAGCAAGGAAAAAGAATGGGAATAACCAGTATCTGATGACTGGACTCTTAGGTGATTTGATTTTTAAATTTCATGAGCATTGAATTAAATCTTGTAACAAATGATATGTAGCTGAATTTTAGACTGTACTACACAGATTTTTTTTGCTGTGCTGAGCTGAATGGGCCCTACTGAAATCATTGGGACATGCTGATGTCAGGGGTTCTTTTAATGTGTGAAATTCACCTGAAATATTTTGCTGCCTAGTAGTTCTTGTGAAGTGATGTCATTTGTTAAATGGTGGAATAGAAAATACTTTCCAACCAGTCTGCCTTCTGAACAAACATTTTTGTAGGCATTTTTACAAGCATAACATCATATGGAGGATATGTGTTAATTTTTACTTTGAAATACATAGGACTTAATTTTCAAATCACAGGTGGTGATTATTTGTTTATTGTCTATGGCTTTTTTAAATAGAACTTCAATTCTGTGCCACCCAGGTATAACACTTTTTGTACAAGTCAAATTGCATTATCTTTTATTTAAATGCTAAACTGGACTGCAGTTCATCAGTTGAAGAGATTGAATGGAATGAGTGTTGAATGGTAAGACAGTCAATAAAGGTGCTTATTGTTAATGAAGAGTTGTTGCATTTATTTCCCAAATTTTTTTTATTACAACTTCATTGATCCTCTTCCCCCATAATATCTGTTAAAACAGAGGACCTACTCTGTTAAGTTTGTACCATTATTATGGACATAATTTTGCAGCTGGTGGGTTTTGTTTTCTGAGAATGAGTGTGTGACATTTCTGTGTTATTCTTGAGTAGATTCTCTTAGATCCTGAGAGAGGAATGTAAACCAGCATTTATTTTTGCAAAATAATTTATTTGTGATGATAAAATAATTCCAGATGTTGCTTAAAAAGTAACCTTGCCATAGTATTTGGTATTATCAGGAATATCAATAACTGGATATATGCATGAACATGGGATAGGTGAAACAGGAGTAAGGCGAAAGAAGATACCAAGCTTTTTGAAAACCTTCTTGCGGTACTTGTGTGGTCCCAAATTTGGTAATGGTAGAAAACTTGTGAATGTCTCGACCTTCAGGTAGGTTCTTACATGTATGTGAAGGGAGGAACTTGGCTTCTGAGGTTTTTTTACAGTAGAGTTTAATTTTTGTTTGATACTGTAATGTAGAGATTCAGAAGTGCTATTGATTACTAAAAGTTCTGAAAAGGGAAGGTTAATAGAGAGACTGACAGATTTAATTTTTTTGAAATTCACATAACTTTGGTTTGCTGCCTTTTTGCTGAGAGTTCTTCAACAAATGAGAATTGAGAATGCTTCCATCTCTGCACTTAATTGTTGCGTATAGAGAAATCAAAATAGTACAAAGAGCACAGTAGGAGATGACAGAGAATAGAGCAGTGCAGTGGATTCTGGATCTCTGCTAGGAATATTAATAGTTTGCTTGCTCTGCTGGCATGAGAATCACTTTCAGAGTCTTAAGGATATTTCTCACATAGCTGTTTGTTTATGGCTGGTCAGGCATTTCAACCCTTTGTGTTCTCTCAAGGACTTCCTTGCTTACAGTGCAGTCCCTGCCCTCCTTGGGAATGAGTGAGGAAGGGGAGGTGAAGGACGCTCATCCAAGTGCGTAACACCAGGCAGGGCAGGGGCTGTTGGAATGCAGGACCCCATCGTTCTGCCTGCCCCTCTCCCTGCTTCTGAAAAGAGGTTTGGCTTTAAGAGGGAGTTCTGCAATTTTCATTTCATTTTGGTAGGTTGCTTGGTTTGTTTGCTTCCAAATAAATTTATTACAAATTCTCAAACTGGGAAGATATGAAGCCCAGCCCCACTGGGGCTAGAACTGAAGGACTGGTAGGGTTTAGTGGAAAGCAAGCAGGGAGGTGCCCCAGAATAACCAGGCTGCCAAAACAGGGAGATCCCCAAATGCCATGCACGGTTTACTAAGTACAGTGACTGTGCAGCCCTGCCTGCACTATAAAAACTCTAGATGGACTGTGACTTTGCTGTTGGCAAGTCAGAACCTTCTAGAAAATGGGCTTCCAGCTCTAGCTGTTGCTATTTTGTGGGAAGCAGAGGGCCTCCTTGGCATGTCTATGCAGGATGACTCCTTTTTCCTCCCCATTAACTGTAAATCTGCTCTCTCTGTTAATGACAGCAGTCATGGCCAGTGCTGAGCTCTGCCCCAGGCCAGCACTCTGAGGAGCTGCTGAATTTCTGTCACTTAAACAAACCTTTGGCCAGCCCTGGGGTGTCCCACAGCCTGCCAGGGTCAGTGAGGGCAGCAAGAGCATGGAGTGTGCCACCAAGGCCATGCACATGTGCCACCCTCCATGTGGGCATTAACCCTCCAGTGTAGAAAAATGAGAGTTAGGAATGGGTATGTCAGGTGCTGACAGCCCTAGAGTGGGAGCCACTGCCCAAAAGAGTTTATAATTTCAGATCTAACGTGTTAGGCCAGTTGGGAAGAATTACAGTTTGTCTTCTTTTGATTTTATTTCACAAAATTTCTTACTCACATTACGTAAACTGGTTTCTTTATTCCTGCCTTCTAATCTCTCCCTACATTTAGACAAGTTATTAAATCAGTTATCACTGAACATTTCCAATGTCTTTCCCAATTTCTTCCTTGCTCTTTCATCCTTTAAATTCACCTATGGGAAAGATAGCTTAGGGAGGAGTTTTCCTTCAGTATGCCCTCATTGGTGTATTGATTTTGCCAGTTCTAATTGAGTTTGAATTATGTAGGTAGTAAAATCTGAGCTGCTTGCCCTACAATTTGAGCCCTAAATTTCTCTTAGAATTTCTGTGCTGTTTGTTTGCATGTAGTGTTTGTTGACTGGGTACCTTTGAAGAAAAATTCCTGCAGGGATTGCCTTGTGTGAAGCAACTTCAAAGGGTGGTGATGCAGTCTGCTCTTGGCTCCCAGTAAGATCCATGGTAAGTTACAAGGATCCAGTGCTGGGTTACTGCATAGCAGTGCTCCCAACCTCAGCTCTTGACAGTCTGAACTTTATGGCTCTATTTCCACCATTTCCTTGTGCCTGGATTGGCCAACCTGTTTACATCTCAGCCCACTGATCCTCTTGGATGATGATGACAGGATGCTCCTTCCCTCTCTGAGTGAAGACTGGGCAGAGAAGCAGACAAAAAAATCCAGCAGTTTGATATATATGGGTCATGTAATAAAGCAAAGGTTGAAACCCACTTGCATCCACTGACCATGGAGAAAGCTTTGTGAGGAACGACATCAGCTTGTATTTTTTTCTCCTAGAATAATGCAAGTAGGATGACCAGGACTGAATGCCCAAAGACTTACTACTTATAAAATTTGACTTTTAGGGAAAGCCAAGAACTCTTGAAAGGCAGGATTTTGATGGAGACTCAGACAATTCCAGATTATTTTCTGCCCTGAAAATATATAGGCTGCTAACAGCACTGCAGAGAAGACCTGTGAGTCATTTTATCTGCTTCACTGTACATTGTTGTTATAGGCTGTTGATGTTTTTGGCATTTATTTTTGTTCCCAAAGCTCCACACAGTCACACAGCATGGACAGGAGCTAGCAGGGTTTGTGGGTGCCTTTGAGATCTTCCCTGCACGAGCTCAGAATGCAAGGCAGGCACAGTCAGTGACAATGCAGAGCCCACTTTGCTGCAGCCAAACTGCCACTGCTACCTCCCAGCTCTTCTCCACATGTTGCTCCCTGTGCAGGTGTGACTGAGACAGGTAGAAAATATTCATCAGTACATACTGTATCACCATATGGAGAGAAAGGTGTTTTTAAATAAATGACACAGCTGCAATAATTCAGTGATGGGTCAATTTTTGTTGAATGACCTAAAACTGAATTGCAACATTAAGCAAAGTGCAGGTGAGAAAACAAGCTCGTGAGGGGCCTCTTACGAAGGCACCAGCCTTGTTGAGACACAGAACAACTCTGACATGGCCTGAACTGGCATTTGTGGCACTGCAAATGCAGCCTTCTTCACAAAAAATTTAAATGGCCTTCTAGATACAGAAGTGCTTTAGCAGCTCTGATTTGTCCCTCTTCTAATTAGGTGTCAGTCTTCCCTGTTAAACCAAAATATCACTGGGAACCTTTGTGCTGAATGACAGCAGAACATATCGAACAAGGATCCCTCTGTTTCTTATGCACATGCCTCCTCTTAATGCTCACTTGGATTAATTTGAAGAATATCCTCCCATACCAGTGCTATTTTCAAAAGTCCATATAAATTGTAGTCCTGCTCATCTATCTGATCTTTCATCACTGACTTTGGAAAGTTATTTTCCTTAAGCCATATCCCTCAGCAATTTTCCATGCCATCCAAGCAATACATTCATTACTGAAACTTGTGTGATTTAATAATTTCCTGGCACAATAATTCCAAAACATGGGAGGAAAAATGAAGAAAGATTTTTCCATCTCCAGGTATTTATTTTACTACATGAATCCTTGCTCTTGACCCTTTTGAATGGCTTTCTGTTGAGCTGGATTTCAGCTGCTTGTTGAGCACTTGTCTGAGGAATACTTTCATCCTTGCAGCCAAAGGTGGTGGGAGGGAAGCTCATTCAGAGGAACCCCATGTACATGACTGCTGTAGCATTTCCAGCTTTGGATTTCTGGAGCTGTTTTCTTTTCCACAATCTCCATAAGCTAAACAAACACCTTTTTTTTAAAATCACCTGCTTTACTGATCAGTGTTTCAAATGCAATATTGAGGCTTTACTCTCCACTCAAGCCAGCTGTGCTGGGTTTACAGTGGCAGCCTGCCAGGAGCCCGAGGGCTTCACCTGTGCCCAAGTGAGGTAGGGTGAAGAGCACAACCACAGCAGCTCTTCCGTGGGACACAGCCCCACATTGCTGGTTTCCATGTGTTACTGGACACCAGCAGCTACTGGCAATGACAGAGCAGTGGGGTCTGGGTGCATTAAATTAGGAAGCCTTAAATTAGGAATGTACTTATTTAGGAAATAGGTGTGTATTCATGTTGAGCACCACATTAAAACCATTAAGCTTCCTTGTGTCTTTGCAGTTGGGCACATGCAGATGTACTGCTGAGTCAGCCTGGCTGTGTTAATGACCCCAGTAGATCTCCAGGGAATGTCTCTGCTTCCCCACGTGTCTCAAGTGTCAGGGTTATGAAGCTGATTCCTGTGAGAACAATTTTCGTTCGTTACTTGAGAGAATCATTAATTCCAACATATTCTTTCCTGGAGTAGTGATAAATAAAGGCATTAGATAACATTTCAAGATACATTTGTTAAGCCTCTACCACCTTTTTTTGTACCTGCCCAAAAGTATAAAATGAAAAATCAAGAGAAGGAAGAGAACTTCTGATGAGTCTCGGACGCTCTGTTGCCCAATTGCTCAGTCATCTGTAGGCCATGTAGTACAACATAATGTAGTTTTATTTTAACTCTCATCAACTGCTCTGCTGTTTTAGTACCTCTATAGTATGGAATGACTGGAAGATTGCCAAGGAAGGGGAAGTCTGTGTGTGAACAGCCGGGAGGGATAATACATAAATCTGCTGGAAAGAGGCAATTAAAGGCAGCATTGAGATATAATGAAAAATAGACAATATTGAGCCTCATCAGAA